AACAAGAAGATCTAAAAATTAACCTACCCAATAAACATAGTTGAAGAAACTTGATGGTAAATACCATTTTTAAAAAGCCTCAAAAACTATATACACAACCTATATAAAAGAGAAATAATGTATGTTGCAACTTCTGGTGAAAATACTTGGGGTGTGCACTCACTACTTGGGGTGTACACTGCCTCTTTAAGGGCCTGCAGCAAAACAAGATTTGAAGGCTAGTTTTACTGTTTCACTTTTCCCCCTCCCTGTATAAAAATTAAAATGCTCTTTAGATTTCTTTCATTAGCAAAAAAAAAAAAAGTCATAGTCTTAAAGTGTAATTCTGTTTTCAGTATGTTCAGTGTTTTGCAGTCACTACTACTATTTAATTTTGAAAGATTTTCATCACCTATTAGCAGTCCCTTCCCATTCCATTTTGCCCCTCGGCCCTAGGAGTGATTAGTCGTCTTTCCATCTCTATAAATTTGCCTGTTTGGGACATTTTATGTGAATGGATCCATACAGTATGCGGCCTTTTGTCTGATTTCTTTCACTTATCAAGATGTTTCCAGGAAACTACCCTGTCTATCTATCTCAGTACAGGTAGTCCTGGGGATAGGAACATTTGATTTATGTACAGCTCATAGTTAATAAATAGACCCATTCCACCCCCAGCTTGGTGGTGGTGGTTATGTGCCATCGTGTTATCTGTGACGCATAGCGATTTTATGTACAGCATCTCTGAAGTCTGTCCTGAACCAGTCTGATTATGACACACCTACCCCCATTGCCCCAGTTACTGTATCAGTCCATCTGTCTCATCTGGTGTCTTTCTCTCCTATGCTGTTCCTCCACCCTTCCAAGCATGATGTCCTCCAGGGATCTGTCCCTCCTGGCCACATGACCTAAGTATGTGAGACGAAGCTTAAAAATCCTAGCTTCTAAAGAGAAGCTTGGTTTCACCCTCTCCAAGACAGATCTATTTGTTTTCTTGGCAGTCCATGGTATGTTCAAGACTCTTCTCCAGCATCACAACTCGAAAGCATTCTTCTTCTTTTGTTTTTAGTCATTATCCAGCTCTCTGATGCATAGCAAGTAATTGTGAAGACCATGGCCTGGATCAGGCGCACCTTAGTCTCTAGACTGACATCATTGCTTTTTAGTACTCTAGAGAAGTCCCTGACAGCAATTTTCCCAGTGCTGTTCATGTTTTGATTTCCTGACTGATGGTGCCAAGAGTGTTGATTATGTAGCCGAGCAAGCTGTAACTGTTAGCATTATCAATCTCTTATCCATCCAAGCTGCCATTTGACCC